ATTGCATTTATAATGACGAAAAATGAAGAATTTTGTTAAAACTGTTTAAACTATTTTAAACAGAACACTCTATTTTTGGTTTTTGTATCTAATAGATTCTTAAATTGTCTATCTAAAAAGCTAGAACACTTTTTTTAAAACTGAGACAAAAAAAATTTCTACAGCAAGGAAAAAAGTAAAAATTTTAAACATAACAGTAATAAATAACAGTTTTTTAATGATGAAAAATTAAGAATTTTGTTAAAATTGAAATAGTCTCAACAGAACACCCTATTTTTCGTATTTATATCTTATAGATCCTTAAATTGTCTATCTAAAAACTTTTTTTTAATGTCTTAAATCTCTTAGATGCAAAATCAATAAATAAGGTGTTCTATTAAAGAAATTTAAGTTAACTTCTTATTTTTTTCATCTTTACAAATGCATCACACAAAAAATGTTATAACCTTAAGGTTTGTACTATTTTCTTAACAGTAAAAAAAAAATCTTTTAGCTTTCTTAATTTTTGTGTAAAAAATTTCAATGCAAGCAAAACTGTCGCAATAAAAAGCTGGCGCCTTGTGCTTAGGTGTTAAAAACTTACCGATCAAATGCTCGTATTTCAACCCTGTTTTCTTCAGAAGCTCCCCAACTAAGGGCGTTTTACTCGTTGCATCTTCGACGACTATCCAAAATACGTTTTTGACCAGCATTAGTGTATGGGATAGTCGGGTCAATTCGGCGAGCTGTTCTGGCCTCCGATACGTCGGGGTTATTACATACAAGGGAGGTAAAACGTCTTCCAGTTCTTGAAAACACTGATTTTTGGTTAAAATAACAGGGCTGTCGTTTTTGAACTTACGGGTGTCGTAGGACGTGTACTATTGCTAATGGAAGAAGTGATGTTAAAAAGAGATACATTTCGGAGTTTTTCGTTGGTTTTGGGGTTCAACACGTGAAATTCCTGCGAATTCTGGGAGATCAACCAAGCGTTTGACAAGTGGTACTGATACAATATCACCGATGCGCTTATAAAAATGATGAGGTACATTTTGATAGAAAGCCTCATATTTCAGAGCTATCTCGACCTGAAAATCGGAGAAATAACAAAACTCACTTCAAAATTCGTACAATTTGTGGTAAAACGCAAATTTTACATTGATGGACTCAGTCACGAAATATTGATCACTTGTACAAACACAAAATCATGACTTATCATAATAAAAATAATATTTCAGTTGAGAAACTTCCTCAGGAAACGCCTACTCCGTACTTCCGTCGCAAGCCGGTTTTAACGAGCGACTTTTCTGCCCCAAAATAAGTCAATATTTGGATTTTGTAAACAAGTAGATAAGAAAAATTTCGCAGGAAATCACGCGACGAAAATGGATGTAGGGTACCGAAATCGTCCAATAACGGGGCTATTTTTAGAGCGGACACTAGCCAAACACTTAATTCACTGACACGATTCGTAAAAGTCCCATTAATTAGAATGTTGACTGGTGCATTATTTAATAATTGGACGGATTTTGCGTTAATTAATTTGAAACGGAAACATTTTAACCACAACTTTTACGATTTGTCAGGAAATATTTTGTTTAGCTAATTTTCATATCACACAACGTTAATTTGTTTATTGTTTGAGATTCCGAGCTAATTGTTTGATAGAATCAAGGTTGCTTGACATGCTTAATTATGCAATTAGCAATTATAAATAGAGTGCAGGTTTTAAATAAACAAATCTTTCATTGCCCATCAATCATGTTATACAGGTTGTCCCAAAATGCGCGTCTTATCACGACTATTAATTATGCTAATTGAAATGAACAATCGTTCAGTGTCCCACAATTTTTCCGATAAGTGAATGGCCGGAAAGGTCAGTTTTGGTGCATTGAAACCAATACGACATTTTTCCGATAAAAAATCTAATTGTGTTTTATGCGATCTAAAGCATTGCGTCTGAAAAGGGTGCTTTGCCGGCCGCATGTATACCTATTTATTGATTACTTTACAACTCCCCAATAAAGCAAAACACTTACCTACCTGCAATTTCTGTCTCTGGTACATGAATGTCTTGAATTTTGTCGCAAATTAAAATACATTGTTGTATTTTTCGATATTTACAAGCTTTTACAATCAAAAATTACCCACTTACAATTACAGGAACATTTTTAAAGCGCATTGTAACCAGAATTACTTGCCACTCGATTTGACACAGTTTAAATAGATTTTGTAAAAATAAAAATACACAACTTGACTGTATCTACCACTGATGCACAATGCTACAAAACATTATTTTATGTTCTTTTGCACCAGTTAGCCACTGCTGAATCCTACTTCGCAGGATACTGTCAGTAAGTTGCCCTAAAACGCAACAGGGGGCGCTTGGAAGCCCAATTTAACGATTTTCAGAATTATTAACAATTAAATCGGTCGTGGCCCACCCTGTAATGATCCAATTCGAAAAAATAATAATTATTTATATTTACTTGGACTGGCTGGCAACAAATGTGGTGTATAATTGGTTGCCTACCCAACACAATATTTATAATGTAACAAAATAGTAGTAACACTTAGTAAACACAAAAAAATATTTTAATTATTTTAGTTGTAAACATTTGCATTTTGCTATAAAATTCAATATTGTGTATGTTTGGGTTTCTGGTTTGTCAATAATGGTTGTTATTAAACAATTGATTGTTTTGATAAGAAAAAATAGTTTTATTGTCATATTCTGGTGGAGGCCTCTTGTAATGGCCGCTGATTCACCTCGTTAGAAATTATTTTCTCCAGGATATTAGATTATATTGAGTGGTGCTTAATGTTTGATGACCCTCTTGCTCATCATAACATATGCCTAAATAAGTGGGCTTGATTTAAATGACACAATAAAATTTGAGTACGAAGCGTTACTTCCTGATAGGTTTTTGTTTTTGTAAAGAGCTTAAAAAGCATATTTTGTGATTAAGGTGATAAGAGGTGTGGTATTAAAGATTGAAGGGAAGTTATCACCCCGGAAAGGACACAATAGTGGTGATGGTGATAACGCATGTCAGACATGATGGCGGATTGCGCGCATATAGATTTATCTTTGTTTGGAGTGACAACGCGTCGTTTCCAGATTGCTTATGAATGCCAAAGGTGTTGATCCGGATAAAGGGGAGATGAGCAATTAATGAAGTTCGACCCCTTTCTCTCTTGCTCAATACCTTTATAAGTTGAATTCTCCCTCTCACGGAACATCTATATCGACGCGAAATTAATACCAAATTTTATATCGGATTGGCACACCGGATTAACACCAAAACTAAAATCAAAGCACAACCATCTTGGAGCACTGAAAGAGAGAGATAAAAACAAAAATTTATTTGTTTTAAAATGTCACTTCCTCCCAGTGAACAAAATCAGGCAAATTATTTTGTATTGGTATAAAAACTAAAATTATACACTACTCCAAAAAATTAAAGGAACCAAAAAATTTACTAATTTTTTTGTTGATATCTGAGGGGCTGTAATTCATATTTTAAAGTATTTTAAAGATTTATGTTTCTAGTTTTGAGATCTTTTGGCAAAAATTTTTTCTGTGCTACGGTTAGGATCACGTAACCCTAAGTGATAGTGCAAACAAAAAAAAATTCTAAATTTTCTTGTTTTTGTTTTTGGTTTATGGACGTGGGAATTTTTTTTAAGTTGCATAGGCCGGATAGCCTGTTTATTCATCTTGAATATTTTGTTTTCATATTCTCTTTACGTCAATTTGTCACTGAAATATCTTACTTTAAATGAAAAAAGAACTTTTTGTCCTTGATCATCAATATCTCAGCAACCAATGACCACACAAAAAAAACTGGAATAAATGTCTTACAAGATTCTTTTATAATTTTTTGAAATTTTTTTTCACCCTCAGAAGATCGAAAAAAGTAACTTTTTGCGTTGTTTTCATAAATCTATTGCATATTTACTAATATTGATGGGGAGACTAATGTTTTTAGGTGTTTTTACAGCTTAATGTACCCCCATAGCCCGGTAAATTTTTAAATTGATCTATCAAACCGTTTTCTAGGACCGATTGATCAAAGCTTTATAAAAGAATTAAAGAAACAATTGTAGATACATATTATCTCTGAATATTGTCTAATCTTCGTCAAAATGAGAAAAACAGTTTGTTTTCAGCTTTTTTAACAATGATACATTAGTTATTAATT